AATACTTAATTTTCCTGTTATATGCACCAGAGTATTTGGTATTAAAAAATCTACTGATGATGAAGTTGAAAGAAAACACTTTGTTAGCCACTCTGAGCAAATTAATGGGAAAAATTGTAATATACTGTCAAAGCTCTACTAAGGTCCAACACAAACTTGAATTTATCAGTATTAGCTTCAAAATATAAGGAAAGTGAAGGACCCTGGACCCATACAATTACATTGTATATCCGGGAAATGTGATAATCAATCAGAGTTAAAGCATGCTCAAACAACTTATAAAACGAAAGACAAACTTGGCAACTTACCTGGGGCTTTTGAATTCTATCTTTGCAAAATCGACACTCAAATCTACCTTTACTCTTAAACAATCAAAATACCTATCCTGCAAGTCCAAAATACTTACGCTAAGGGCGAGCACCATATATAAGCAAATTACAGTCACGTATCCATTGTATATATGCACGTATTCAAAATTTCAAGCCTCTAAAATTAGGAGAAAGATTGACTTAATTGATATTTGAAATTACCTTTGCAATTGAAATTTAAGATGTAAAAATAACATCAAACCAAATTTGAATTTTTTACATAACCCTAACCTTGCGTCGTCCTGGCCGTGTGCATCGTAGAAGTCATATGAATAGTCGAATACGTTGTTGTGGACTTTAACGTTGTTGACCGGAGGATGAATTAGCGGAGAATAGCAGAGTAGCAGAGAAAACTAGAAAAGTCCGGCTTCTTGATGTAGAGGTTGCGGCAGAACAGAAATGTTAGGGAAGAGGTGAGGCCTGAAGGATACGTAGGGTTGTGCGGCATCACAATTTTTTGGGAAGGTTGAGTACTTGAGTGGGCCAAAATCATTAAAAGTTTTACTAGGTATTACAGAGTATCCAAATGGTAATAAAATGAAATGAAATATACATAGTATATAGCATGAATTAAGAATGTTTTTTTTACTCAAATTTATTGGTCTGGTCTGGTCTGATCCGATTTGATCTGAATTAGTCTGGTCTGGTAAATGTTTGGTCTCATGTATTTTATAATTACGGAAGTCTGATCTGGTCTAGTCTGGTCTGATCTGATCTGATCTGGTCTGGTCTGATCAGGCCGGGTCCGGGACTGAAAACAACCCAAAGAAAACATCTTAAGAAAATAAAATAAAGAAGAGTGAAGGTATTTACCGTCATGTTTTTGAAATTATCTATTTTGTAAACATAACAATATATGGCGTTTTTTTCATTTTGAAGTAGTATTATTTAGAGAATAAAACTATAGAATTTCTATTATGTAACTCTCGAATATTTTGTTACTCTTATTTAGGACTATATTTTTACTAAAGTTATCTAATTTTGTTTTGTGTCAATTTTAGATTTTTTTTAGTTAAATTTTAATTTAATTTTATATTTTTCAAAATCTCATATGATATATTTAATTTTAGCTTAACTTTATTTCATCTGACTTGAAATCCATCCAATTAAAAACATACTATCCTCCGTTCTCTTTTAATCGCAACATTGGACTTTTTACACTATTCTCATATTCTACTTTGACTATATTTTATTCATTAATGTATTATAAATAATTTTTTTTAAAAATATTATTAAATTCTTCTCATTCTAAATTTTCAAAATATGATTTTTTTGAATTTTTTACTAATAAGGAATGAAAGATATTAATGGTCAAACTTGTGCGTTGACAAACGTGAAATGTTGACTGTTGCAATTAAAAGGGAACGGAGGAAGTAATTAATAAGCAACCATCTGTTTTAATCTTGTCAAACATACACTACGGCTTAAATTTAGTTCGAGAAAGTACATGGCCAACATTTATTAAAAAATTGTTGCATTAGAGCATTTAACACTTATAAACATATCAATGGCATCACTTGTCAAAAACAACGTTGCATTAGAGTTGTTTAACACTTACAAACATATCTATAGCAACACTTCTTAATAAATGATGCCTTATCCCAAGTTCTATTAATGTATATCCACATTTTTGAAGCAACACTTTAAATTGGTGTTGCCATAGGCCATTTATGGTGTAGTGGGTGCTGGGTGTGGGGCTGTTGCAGGGTAAGGGATGGGACTTGGATGGTCAACGATTGTGCTGGCTGGGGCGGGTGTCGTGGGGTTCAGGGGGGCTGGGGATGGGGTGCAGTGGCTGGCCAGAGTGGTGGCAGCAAATGTTGCACTGACGGTGGTGAGGGGCTGGTGAGTGGCGGTCACGGATTCACCGGCAGAATGACTGTGATGATAACATGCTTGACGGTGGTTATCGGCTGAAGACTGTGCACGAGGTCATGGTGGCCAGAGTCACTGTGACGCCGGAGTCACTGTGACGGTGTAGTCACTGTGGCCGGAGTCACTGTGATAGGAGTCACTGTGACAGGAGTCACTGTGACAGGAGTCACTGTGATAGGAGTCACTGTGACCGGAATCACTGTGACCGGAGTCACTGTGACCGGAGTCACTGTGTAGGCGGAATCACTGTGGTGACGGGTCACTGTGGCGGCGGGTCACTGTGACAGCGGGTCACTGTGACGTTGAAGTCACTTTCATGGGAGTCACTTTGCATTGCAGGGTTAATGGTCACATTTTTAGAATTTTCAAAAAGATGTCACATTTTTATCTTTTGTCTTTTATTTAGTAATATTCAAATAAAAAGGCCAAAAAAGTTATGCTTATTTATATGGAATATTCTTTGCTATTTGATATGCAGTAGAATCTATTTTTGCTTGAAATTATTTAAAGCCAATGTTTGCTATTTTTGAGAATCTACCGGATAGGATTTAAGCAAATTAGATAAAACACACCAAATGTTTATCTAATTCTGGTCTGGTATATTCTTGAAAAGATTAATATGAGTAGATTTTAATATAAATTTTATTTTATATTTTTATAAAATATAGCACTTTAAAATTTTGAGTACAAATTAAGCAACTATAGCTCTTAAAAAAACATAAGGGCCTGTTTACTAACAAAGATATTTTCCAGTTTTCCAGAAAATTGGAAAACTGGAAAACAGAAAACAGGAAACGTGTTTACCAAAGAAATTGCTGGAAAATTGGAGAAAGGAAAAAAGAAAAACGCGTTTACCAAATCTTTTCCAAAACGAAAAAAATGAGACATGTCTCTCTTTTCCTTAATGATTGGAGAAGTGATCGACTTTTACTAGTTTTCAAAATTTGGAAAACGCAGATGATACAGTGCCGCTGCAATGAATTTGCATACTTACACCTAGTGGTGGGTCCGGTCCCGCTCCGATGTCGATTCCATTCCGGTACCTCCATCCTCGTACCTTACCCCTTACCCCTACCCTACCCACCCAACCCCCACCCCGCGTACCCATTTTCCCTATAATGACCCTACCCCACCCCTACCACATGCCCCTACCTTGGCCCCACCCTGATCCACCCTACCCTACCGCCACCCCCTACCACCTCGACCCCACCACCGACCCACCCTACCCTACCCCCTACCACCTCGACCCCACCCCTTACCCTTACCTTACCCCTTACCACATGCCCCCTACCTCGACCCCACCCCACCGTCATCCTACCCCCCACCCTCGTTCCGCCATCCTACCCCCCCACCCTACCCTTCCCCTACCTCGGCCCCACCTGGATCCCGGGCCCACCCTACCGCCATCGTATCCCAACTCCCTACCCTACCCCTACCTTACCCCAACCCTACCCACTACCCCCACCCTTACCACCATCCTACCCCCCACCGCCATCCTACCCTCCACCCTACCCCTTCTCTACCTTGGCCCCACCCTGATGTCGTCCCCACCCTACCTCCATCCTATCCCAACTCCCTACCCTACCCCTACCCTACCCACTACCCCACCCTTACCCCTACCATGACCCTAACCCACCCACTACCCCCACCCAACACCCTACCCCTAGACCTTACCACCCCACCCCGACCATACCCCTTACCCCACCCCCACCCGTAACTTCCCTACCCCGACCCCTACGAATAGGTATGGGTGGGTATGAAGGGTTGTGGGGGAATATGGGTAAAGTGTAAGATCGTGGTAAGGGTAGGGGTGGGAGTCAAGGGTGTGGAATTGGAGAACTGGGTGAAAAAATTGATGAATATGTTTTCAGATTTGAAAATGGAAAACTAAAAAATAGAAACAGAAAATTGGAGATAGAAAAACTGAAAAATAAAAACAAAAAATTGGAGAACGAAAAACAAAAGTAGAAAACATGAAAATATCTCTGTTAGTAAACATGCCCTAATATTTTTTATATGCGATATTGGTCTCATATGAAAGATAATAAAAAGTTATAAATTTTGATGTATTTTTTATAACAATCGAAATACAATTAAAATAGTTATAACACTTTGAAAAACCAAGAATTTTTTTTTGTAGGACCCAAACTATTTTCTCCCTCAGTCCCTCTTGTGCGCCGGAAGTTGCTACATACGGAAGTTGGGGGTTTTACACTTCTACTATTAGTTGGGAAGTATTTTAACTATGCCTCAATTTGGTAAATACTCCTTTATTTAGCATTAAATTTGGAAAAACTTTTAACAAGTAACATGTTAGAATCATGGCTAAACATACTTAAATAGGCTCTGCCCGTTTAGACAAAAGTCTAACCTGACCGGTTTCCAACCGTAATCATAATCAAGGCAGTGACCATATGAAGAAAAGGTAAATAATAGTCGGGACTCGGGGTGCGCTAAAAGTGAATCACCGAAAGTAATCGCAATTGCTACTGCATAAGTCTGCATTGATTCGTCTTTTACCATTAATATTATATAGGAAAAATTAATAAGAAATATCCCACCTTTCACTGGTCTTCTCATAATAATCCCACATTTATATAATCCCAAAATAATCCCACCTTTACACCCCGTCTTCTTTCAATGGGCCCTTTTTTTTTTGAAAATCTTATATAAATAATCACACCTTTGTAGGTCATCAATAAGTCAAGGTCCAATGAAAGAAGATGAGGTATCTCATATAAATAATCACACCTTAAGAAAATCCTCACACCTTTCGGTGATTCACTTTTAATGTTTAAGGACTCAAGCCCACAACATATCACATGTAGGTGAAATGTCTTACCACTCAAACTGCACTTTTTGTGAGGGGTAGACTCAGATAATTACAATCAAAATGAAGGTGTTTCGTTATACCCTCATAAAAACTGAGATGCCTCTTAGGTTCTATATTAAGTATATTTAATCCTTAAACTTCAGGGTCCAATAAGTAACCACTGAGATTTTCTTAAACTTCATGGTAGTAAAATACCAGTAAAAGTCTCCCTGTCGATCACTAAAATGAACTTTGAAATCCCCAGATAACTCTGTAAGGCCGGGCTCCCCAGGAAGAGCAAAAACCACTACCCCTTTTCTCGGTGCACTAAACCAATAGTCTTCAGGCTACACAAATGAAAATAGAAGGTACAAACTTCAATCAATAGCTAAATTAATAGTACTATCACAAGTTTTTTAGCCCAATCATCTTCTAAGACCCACTGGGTTCCACTGCAACAGAATTTTGTAACACATAGTATAGTGCCTTGTGATGATTAATGGAATTATTTATCAGAAAACTGTCCACAAATTACAAGACCTACCAGCATATCCTTAGTTCTTGGGTGTTTCTTTGATGAAAAAAGCACACCTACGAAGAAATAAAACATTTTAGAATAGAGAACAAAAGTGTTCAATTAATACAATAACAATATAAATCATCTTACAGGATGTCACTAAATGATTGGAATGTCAGCAATAAGATGATATAATTTATAGCTTGAATGTGTGTATGATTGTATGAATGTATAACTCACCATTATGATCAGAGACTGTAATCGAGGTCCTGATCCAATAAGGGCATTTATGGAGTCGAAATCCCCTAAGCATGCACCTGCAATAATGTCATTGAGCAACGACAAAAAACATCAGATGTGCTTGTTTCACAGGTATCATTTCCATAAGTGAATCCGAAAGCTGAAAAATAGAATGTAATGAGGCAGTTGACCTTGGATCAGAGATAAACTTACCTGTGTGCAGGCTGGTTCTCTCCATTGAAGTACATTAGGATATGTTCAAAATACTTGACATACCTCTATCACAAAAAGAAGCCAGTGGTGAGAAATCTTTAATAAATAGATGAGGGAAGGGGTTAAAACCTTTTCTGTTTCACATACAATCTGACTTGGCAGGACAAGGTTTTTCCCATCAATGCACCTTTTCTGGTTGTAAGAGTCAATACATTCCTCAGCCGTTGGGAAGAACTGCATCAAGATATGATGAAACAAAACTTATTCTCAAAAATAAATGTCCACCGCAAACAGTATACACCATAACAGTAGAGCAAATATATACTGCACCTTTAAATACAAAAGAAGACTTGAGATCATCAAGCCAATCCTTGCCATTCCTGCCTTACAGTGAACAACCACAACATTTTCAATATCTCCCTTCAACAATGAATATGCACTTTGGCAAAACAACATTATGAGATGAATTGGAGGACAGTTATGGTCATCAAATGGGAAACTAGCCACCTGAAGATATATCAAAGGACATGTAAATTATGATACCACAGTAACAGAAATGTTCATTTCCCTTTATATGAAAATAAGATAATTTTTTCTGAAGAAGAACTGAAACACACCTTCCCCTCGAACAATGATACATCATACAATCTCTCAGAACAAAGATTGTACACTTTGTATTTGTCCTGCAAAATGGTTGTTACAGAGAACAATAAAAGATTTCCCATGAATGGATACATTAAACATAAAAGAAAATTGAAAAAAGAACTTTAAAAACAGACAATGTGTGACAATCAATGATCATTAGAAATGTAGATTACACAAAGTAGATAGGATAACGAGCATACCTTATGATGAGTCTCAAAAAACTTGATCACTTCTTCCATATGGTTTCGATAAAATCCCTATATCCCAAAGCGTTTCAATTTAGAACTAATTACAGAATGCAAAAGCGGTTGATTATTTGTAATTGTTGTGAAACACAATTTTCTCACCTCAACATACCCAAAAAATCCAGAGCTCATATCGCCAGCCGGGAATCCCATGGCAATTATATTCTCAGTAATGTATGTCAAATCCACCTTCCTATGAAAAGAAACTGTACTGTAAGATCATGACCATGCATGAAACATTTCGAAGCAAATAAAGTATGAACATCCAAATGTCATACAAGGAAATTGCAAGATGCTCATACACTTTCCGGATTAGGGCAGCTTTTTCATATGTCAAATTTAAAGAAACAACTCACCTGGTATCTTCGTTTATTTTGAGAAATAATATGTCTAGCCTTGACAGACACGGCCTTTACTGCAATCATGGAAGAGTCAACTAGTCCTTTTGTAAATGTTCCTAGAAAGCTAGATTGGAGATTGGTTGTGATGGGAAAAACAGCCACAAACGGAACTAATAAAATGCGGAATTAATCTCCGTTTGGCTAAACTTTCCCCAACTTGAATGAATCTTTGAGGATGCAAACAAATAGGGTGTTCTTAATGCAATTAGAACACACACAAGTTACTGCCACACACCAATATATTCAGCTAAAACAGTAAGCACACACCACACACAAACACCGGAATTTTAGCGTGGAAAACCCGTTAACTAGGGAAAAACCACGGGACCATTTTGGCCGCTTAAATCCACTATCATCATCAAAGGAGCAGTACAAAGTCTTCTCTAGATAATAATAGAGGCATACACATTCATCATATCCTTGGAAGTAAGCACATCAAGGTGTATGAAATCAAATAGAGCCAAGATAAGAAAGATATCACCAGAAAAATAGCTACTGTCCAGACCAACGAAACCCGACCTCCGGACCTCAAAACTCGATCTCCACCGTCCAGAATGTTGGCCCAGATGCTGTGAAGCTGCTGTCCAAAAATCACGACGATCCAACGGTTCAATCTCCGGGAAACGGAAGTTTTCTGCTGCTGCCTGCTGAAAAACGGGACCATTTTGGCCGCTTAAATCCACTATCATCATCAAAGGAGCAGTACAAAGTCTTCTCTAGATAATAATAGAGGCATACACATTCATCATATCCTTGGAAGTAAGCACATCAAGGTGTATGAAATCAAATAGAGCCAAGATAAGAAAGATATCACCAGAAAAATAGCTACTGTCCAGACCAACGAAACCCGACCTCCGGACCTCAAAACTCGATCTCCACCGTCCAGAATGTTGGCCCAGATGCTGTGAAGCTGCTGTCCAAAAATCACGACGATCCAACGGTTCAATCTCCGGGAAACGGAAGTTTTCTGCTGCTGCCTGCTGAAAAACGGGATGAGCATTTCAGCTCATGTTTTGTGACTTTTGCTCTTATCTGCTGCTCTCCTTCTGTCCATCGAATGTAAGATAGTAGCTGACCCATATTTTTTATTATTAGCTCCCAAACACACAAAGTCAAAGAAGACTTTTAGTGGGCTCAATACTTGGGCTTTCCTCATGGGTCAAAAAACAAAGGAAAAACCCAACAAATCTCCCCCTTTTTGACTTATGAGGAAGAGTTCGCCATACCGGCGATGGAGCAACATACCTTCAACTTTTCCCTTGCTAGAACCTTCGTCAACATATCGGCACCATTACCATCGGTATGAACTTTATCAAGTTCAAACAGTTTGTCTTCAAGTGCATCTCTAATCCAATGATACCTCACATCAATATGTTTGGTTCGTTTGTGAAACATAGAATTTTTGGCAAGGTGAATGGTACTTTGATTATCACAAAGAACCACGTAGCGCTGTTGCATAAAGCCAATCTCTTGCATAAATCTTTTGAGCCATAATAGCTCCTTACACGCTTCTGTTGCAGCCACATACTCAGCCTCGGTGGTGGATAGAACCACACACTTTTGCAGTCTCGATTGCCATGACACAGCTCCCCCTGCAAAAGTCATCAAATATCCAGAAGTGGTTTCATGTTGTCCTTATTTCCTGCCATATCAGAATCAGTATAACCAACAAGTATTGGCTTCCAATTTCCAAATGTTATACCCAATTTGGAAGTACCACGTAGATATCTGAGAATCCACTTCACTGCTTCCCAATGCTTCTTACCTGGATTTGACAGAAAACGACTAACAACACCTACTGCATGAGCAGTATCAGGTCGTGTGCACACCATAGCATACATCAAGCTCCCTACAGCTGAGGCATAAGGAACTCTATCCATCTCTTCAATCTTCTTTTCAGAAGATGGACAATCTTTATCAGTTAACCTGAAGTTGGTAGTAAGAGGTGAACTAACCTCTTTAGCTTTGTCCATGTTGAATCTGCGAAGCACCTTCTCAATGTATTGCTCTTGTGACATGTGTAGCTTCTTCAAAGCTCTATCTCGAGTGATCCGAATGCCAAGAATCTGTTTTGCTGGCCCCAAGTCTTTCATAGCAAAAGACTTGCTCAATTGCATCTTCAGCTGAGTAATTCTTTCTGCATTCTTGCCAACAATTAACATGTCATCAACATATAACAATAAAATGATGAAATCATCATCACCAAACCTCTGGAAGAAAACACAATGGTCTGAAGTAGTCTTTCGGTAATTTTGCTCCCCCATAACTGACTCAAACTTCTTGTACCACTGTCTTGGTGCTTGCTTCAACCCATAAAGACTCTTTCGAAGTCTACACACATAACCTTCTTTTCCCTTAACCTGAAACCCTTCAGGTTGCTCCATGTAGATTTCTTTATCCAAGTCACCGTGAAGGAAAGCTGTTTTGACATCCATCTGTTCAACCTCAAGATCAAGGCTGACTGCCAAACCCAGAACAACACGAATAGATCCCATCTTCACGACCGGAGAGAAAATCTCATCAAAATCAATACCCTTTCTCTGACTGAACCCTTTGACCACCAATCTAGCCTTGTACCTAGGTTGTGAGGTGTGCTCTTCAGTCTTCACTTTGTAGACCCACTTGTTCTTCAAAGCTCTCTTGCCTTTAGGCAACTTCACCAACTCAAATGTATTATTTTCATGTAAGGAATTCATCTCATCTTGCATGGCTTCAACCCACTCCCTTTTGTGCTCATCTTCCATGGCCTCTGCATAACACTCACGCTCTCCCCCATCAGTGAGTAAGACATACTCATTAGCTGAAAAACGGGTGGAAGGATGACGATCTCTTGTAGACCGCCTAAGTGGGACAAATGGTGGCACGTCTGGTACTGGTATCTCTGAATGAAATTATTCATCCACCTCTGGCTGTTCTGGAACATCAGTATCATGTTGTTCATCATTCTGAACATCATTATCAAGAGGTGGTTGTACATGCTGAGGAGGCACTGGATCCAAATCAGTAACATCATCATTATGTTGAGGAACTGTATCTTTCTTCTCAGCATCTTTCAAGGTTTGATCTTCCACAAACACAACATCTCGGCTTCGAATAAGTTTCTTGTGGACTGGATCATATAATCTGTAACCAAACTCATCTTGGCCATAACCCAAGAAAACACATGGTTTGGACTTCACATCAAGCTTTGATCTTTCATCTTTAGGAATGTGCACAAAAGCTTTGCATCCAAAGACCCTCAAATGACGGTAAGAGACATCTTTGCCACTCCAAACCTTGTCAGGCACATCAAAAGACAAAGGAACACAAGGAGTTAGATTAATAACATGTACCGCTGTATTCAAAGCTTCTCCCCAGAATGAATTTGGCAGCCCTGCATGTGACAACTAACATCTGACACGCTCCATCAAAGTTCTGTTCATCCGCTCTGCTAATCCGTTCAACTGCGGTGTCTTGGGAGGACTCTTTTGATGTCGAATACCATGATCTCTACAATAAGCATCAAAGGGGCCAATGTATTCCCCTCCATTATCTGTCCGAATACACTTGAGCTTCTTTCCAGTCTGTCTCTCAACCGAGGCATGAAACTGCTTAAACACCTCAAATACTTGATCTTTAGATTTCAAGGTATAAACCCAAACCTTTCTGGAGTGATCATCAATGAATGTGACAAAGTAGGAGCAACCACCAAGTGTCCTAGTCTTCATAGGACCACAAACATCAGGGCCAGATCAAGTATACTCTCCTTCCTGGAAGGAGGATGGCTCTTAAAGGAAACCCTGTTCTGTTTACCTGCCAAACAGTGCGAACACTTCTTTAAATGAATATCATGCACACCCGATAACACATTTCTCTTCAACAAAAGAGACATCCCCTTTTCACTCATGTGACCAAGTCTCTTATGCCATAAATCAGTCATGTCAGTATTCACCACAGCATTGACCCTATCCTTGAAGATCTTCGGATGTGTCATGTACAACTTTGAGCATCTTTTACCTCTAGCCATGATCAAAGAACCACGAGTGAGTTTCCATATTCCATTACCAAAGTTGTTGCTGTAACCATCATCATCAAGTAAGCCTGCGGAGATCAAATTAAGTCTCATATCTGGAACATGTTTTACATTATGTAAAACCAACTCTATCCCAGTGTCAAACTTCAAACAAATATCTCTGATGCCTGCAATCTTTGATAGTCCATTATTACCCATCCTAACATTACCAAAGTTACCTGGAGTGTAAGATGAATAAAAATCCCTCTGTGATGTTACATGACAAGTAGCACCACTATCAACAATCCAACTGGAATCATCATGTGCAATGTTGACCATATCAAGATCAGAACAAATCAGGAACTCATCGGTAGCAGTGTTAACTTCAGCATTGCCATTACCACCCTCATCTTTCTTATGGTTCTTTTGATTGTTGTAATCGCTCTTCTTCTTCTCCTTTTTCAATTGCCTGCAGAATCGTATTGTATGCCCTTTTCTACCACAATGATAGCACTCAAAATCAGCAAACTTTCCTTTGGATTTACTTCGATGCTTCCCTTTGTTACCTGGACCTCTACTCTGACTTCTCCCCCTGCTTTCTGTAACTAAGACATCAGAATGTGAAGAGGAACCTTGTGACTTTCTTCTCATCTCTTCATTTAAAACACTGCCTTTAGCTAATTCCATGGTGATAATACCATCTGGTGCAGAGTTGGACAATGATGTCCTCAAAGTCTCCCATGAGTCCGGTAAAGTGCCAAGGAGCCACAAGCCTTGTATCTCATCTTCAAACTTGATACCCATTCCTGCAAGTTGATTTATGATTCCCTGAAAAGAATTCAAATGATCAGTGACAGGAGTTCCATCATGGTATTTCAAGCTCATCATCTGTTTTATTAAGAACAATTTATTGTTCCCGGTCTTTCGAGCATACAACTGTTCAAGCTTGTTCCACAATCTGCGAGCATGAGTTTCCCCGCTAATATGGTTCAAAACATTATCATCAACCCATTGGCGAATATACCCACAAACCTGTCTATGCAAAATATTCCACTCTGCATCTATTTTACTCTCAGGTTTATCAGTAGTAAACACAGGCAAATAATAATCCTTCACATAAAGTAGGTCTTCCATTTTGCCTTTCCAAACATGATAATTAGAACCATTAAAATTGATCATCCTACTTGTGTTTGCTTCCATCATTCAAACAAGTCTACCCCAATACAGAAGAACTCGGCTCTGATACCAATTTGATGGGAAAAACAGCCACAAACGGAACTAATAAAATGCGGAATTAATCTCCGTTTGGCTAAACTTTCCCCAACTTGAATGAATCTTTGAGGATGCAAACAAATAGGGTGTTCTTAATGCAATTAGAACACACACAAGTTACTGCCACACACCAATATATTCAGCTAAAACAGTAAGCACACACCACACACAAACACCGGAATTTTAGCGTGGAAAACCCGTTAACTAGGGAAAAACCACGGGACCATTTTGGCCGCTTAAATCCACTATCATCATCAAAGGAGCAGTACAAAGTCTTCTCTAGATAATACTAGAGGCATACACATTCATCATATCCTTGGAAGTAAGCACATCAAGGTGTATGGAATCAAATAGAGCCAAGATAAGAAAGATATCACCAGAAAAATAGCTACTGTCCAGACCAACGAAACCCGACCTCCGGACCTCAAAACTCGATCTCCACCGTCCAGAATGTTGGCCCAGATGCTGTGAAGCTGCTGTCCAAAAATCACGACGATCCAACGGTTCAATCTCCGGGAAACGGAAGTTTTCTGCTGCTGCCTGCTGAAAAACGGGATGAGCATTTCAGCTCATGTTTTGTGACTTTTGCTCTTATCTGCTGCTCTCCTTCTGTCCATCGAATGTAAGATAGTGGCTGACCCATATTTTTTATTATTAGCTCCCAAACACACAAAGTCAAAGAAGACTTTTAATGGGCTCAATACTTGGGCTTTCCTCATGGGTCAAAAAACAAAGGAAAAACCCAACAGGTTGAAGTTCCTTCAGAATTGTCTTCAGTAGGTGACTTTGGAGATGAACCCATTCCAAACCCACTAGTGAAACGGGCAAAAGATGATTTTGCCACACTTCCTGAATCCTCGTCATCTTGAGATCTAGTGAATGGTTGAGGGATATTTAAACTTTTAGCCCACGTGGATAGCTTAGAAGGTCCATCATATGCTGGTGCAGAGTTCACATTAGAGCTTGCGACATTAGTACTTCGTATTTGTGGGAGGGTGTGCATTTGATACATTAGATGCTTGTGTATCCATTGTGCTGGCCAAATTGCTCAAATGATAACTTTCAAATAAATGTTCATCAGGTTATCGCCCTTAACTTTCCATCGAATATGATGAAGCTACATTACACATAAGAATAGAAATGAGAGAATCACAAAAAAGAACATTTAATACACAGGTATTACAGTTAGTAGCATTTTACCCATTAAAAATAAGAATGAGATTAAGATGAATAATTAGGGGAGAGTCCCCTGGGAGGAGACTCAGCTCCCCTTTCCATTCCCAATTGGATAATTTTCTATGAATCAGCTTTATAGCCTTTGAAATCTATTAGTGTGCTACAGGAAATGTTCGCTTGTAGAAACTGAAAGCTTCACTACCTAAAAGACATAAGTCATTACGGCACATTAGTAAAGACTAAGGACTCGATGCAAATACCATGATCTTAAGCCTCTCATTTTTCCAATAGGACTTCACTGAAATAATAATTCTTTCTTTCTTTCCGCTCCCAATTCCAAATCACTTGGAACCTCGTCTTCAAATAATAGCTCTCAGAAACTGAATTTTAAACGGGGAAATGATGGAACAATGGAGGCTATAGATTACAGGATTAGTCCAGACAATCTGAGACAGAACCCCTAATTGTTAACCAAATCATATTAGCAAATTCCAACATAATTATAAAACTCGATCCGAACTTTTCATTGGGTCTTGAAACATCTAAAAAGGTTTTATCGGGATTGTCGGGATCGGGAATATCGGGATCGCCATTTTCTTAAGAAAATGGCGTGATTTAATAATTCTTTTTTGTTAATAGACTGGCTTCACGATATAAGAGCATTTTTAGTGCAAACATGGATTGATTAAAAATGCATTGCCACACCGTCTAGCATCCCTTCTGATTGGCTGAGCAAAGATAGCCAGAGCATCTCCTATTCTTCAAACCTTGAAGCTTTCAAGATGCCTATTAGCTTAGTCTAACTCCTAAAATTATCCAATTGAATCACCGACTAATTCTAACTTGCATATTAAAGTGTGACTCAAGAGATTGCAGATGAGATTTTGGCTTGCGGCTATTTTTGTGATAGGAAAACCATTAGTCTATTCACAGATTATCATTGGGGAGAAGAAAGGTGTACCAAGAAATATTAAATAATGCCTTGCCGATTTATTTTATTTTATTTTAATTGCATGGGAGCGTAAATGCATGATTGCATTGGATTGAAAATTTTATTTTAAGTGTATGTGCGTCGACATCACCTTCTCAGTCCGTCTATATCAGTGATGTGTTCATATTTTATGAGGTGCAATTCATTTCACCATTAAAGATGCTCTAACATTGATGTTCTATGTATGTGACCGATCCGGTGGATAAAAGTAAATTAAAGGCCGGGCATATAGTCTATTTTTGCCAACCAACCTATTGTGTACTATAATTTGTTTATGTTGCACATAAGTACAAGACGCTCTTGACCATCGTCATTCTACAAGTATGCCAACTTTTAAGCACCTCAACTTTTAATCATCGTCCTTCGTGAAAGAGCACGTAAATAATATTAGTATAATGCTAGAAATTGAACTTTAATGAAAATAAATCAAAATACAGCTATAGTAAATCCGGCCTTCATATTGCAAGCAGAAAATAAAGAAATAATAAAATCTAACTAATATACTACGTATAAAACTATATTTACATTATTTTTATCAAGCGTTTATCTGATATCGGTAGTATCTCTTTAAAAGTACTTGAGCATCTCTGTCCAAATCGGTGATTTTGGTATGGCAGGTCTTCTCCTGTATGCTTTTACCTTCATCGGGCTCCCCTCACTCTGTCACATTAAACAAAAAGTATATACATCTCATTTTGAACTAATTACAATGAGCAAATTAAATATTCCTTCTAATGTGTTCGAATTTAGCCTTTTCGATTCAATATACTACGTACGATAGTACTACGTAACTTTTAATGTAAAATGCAAATGGGATAATACCATCGACCTCCTTTGAGGTTTAACGTAATAATATCTCCCCTCTATCTTTTGGCAAAGGTTGCATGTCTTCATATCATTATTTAATTATCAATATTGATATGAATATTTGCAAAAGTTTAAATTTATGGTTAGTCAATCTTAAAAATCATACTCCCTTTATCCCTTAAAACTTTCTCTATTTTTGAATTTTTTGGTGGTTCAACTTTGACCAATTATATACTGTTACAAGAAATTATTTACTATATATAGTATAATACGTAGTATAAAAATGATAGAAAATATTTTTGTTAAAACACTTTTCTAAAAGTATAAAATCTACTACATATAACTTTTCAAATATTACGTAGTAAATAATGAAACACGGAAAAATCACATTTTTCAATCCCGCAAATAGTGTCGATATTGAAATGTAGTTCATTTGTTCTGATGTGTGTAAATGTCACCCCTCAATTACCGGAATGCATGTAAATGTGATCCTCAACATGATTGTAAATATCACCCTTATTAATTACCTGAATGCATGTAAATGTGATCCTCGACATGATTATAAATATCACCGTTCAAAGGATCACATTTATCATAATGTGGTTAATTGAGGAGTGACACTTGAAAATGTGGGGCCCACATTTCAATATGGGTGGTATTTGAGGAATTGAAAGTTGGATATTTTTTCTCAAAAAAACAAACAAGATTCTTACCATGCGGCAAGTGCCCTCGGCTACATCACACACAGGGAAGTCTTTCGGGCAGCAGCTGTAGTTGTCATCACAGCAAGTGGCGGACTCGAGCGGGCAGCATCCCCAGCCCAAGCAGTAACTACCGTACTTGAATATACAGCAGCACGTGCTGCCGGCATTGCAGCTGTAGTAGCCATCACAGACGGCGGGAGGTTGGTCGGGCGGCGGCGGACCGTGATCGGGTTTCGGAGGAGGGTTGGGGCCACTCTTGAGAGGATAAGATGCCTCCATGGCTATGCCACATTTGCCAGTGACAGTGTGGTTCAAGTTTCGCTCTAGTCTGATGTATCCATTTTCACCCCAATTTGGTCCCCATGAATTCTTCACTATCCAATAATCATGTCCATTTTCTGTCCCATATCCAACAACAACCACGCCGTGATCTAGTTCTGTACCACATATCCCGGTAAAAACGCCCTATATAAGGTAGAGAGAGAGAGAGACGTGCAATTAATGGTAAGAAATGAGTTAAAAAGCAATAAGAATTTACTTCAAATTAGAGTGTAACATAGAGTGAATTATATTGTGACAGTATGTTGTGTGTTTGAATGAATTGAAGGAAGTAATTAAATCCAAGGTGTCTCAAGGAGAGTTAGATTGGTCCCATCACCTCATTAATACAAAGAATGTCTGTTGTAGTATCCATTTCGTAGCACTGTACAAATTGCTACAATATAATTAATACTTCCTCCGTCATCTTTCTTTTTTTAGTTGTCCTAAAAACTTCACCGCTTTCCGTTTTATCAATCAATTTGTAGTTGTTATTATTTATCTCTCCTTTGCACAACGCTCAGTCACACAGTTTTCACTTTATTATTCCACGTAACGGTCAAACTTGGTAAAGTTTTAAGGGACAGAGAGAATACACAGTATCTATTGTACTACGTGACATTACTGTAGAAAAATGCGACAATAAAATGATAAGTTCATTAAATTGCTACAATACATCTATTGTAACACCAGTTGAATGCAACACACTAAATAATGTTACATTTGATATATTGTGACATTTTTACACCTATTACAACATTTTGCATATGTTACAAAAGTTATACTTTGTTGTAGTGCCTAAGGGAAATTAGAAACGTTTAGTGTACAGATCCTACAGAGATACAGACAACTCTATCCGTGTTGACAGAAAATGTGTGCGAATGGTGTATACAAAATCGTGTACCACCACCATAGTCGATCTATATATAGGAACAAGCAACATATATACATACCGATTCATATAACTGGAATGCCCTTCCACCAGCTTCAACTGCAACGCTAACAGGTTGATGTGCTACAGCCTTCATCAGCGATTTTTCATCATTTTCAGGAACATCCTCATACCCATCAATGGAAACAACGTGTGCACTTTCCTGGAACAACATTTTAATTAATGAGTTACGTATATCAATCAAACTAGTTAGTAACAAAAGAATTGATTAAGAAGTAAATACAAAGTCAAGCAACTCTCATCCCATGCATGCATTATATTATACTACCTTTGTCCCGATTTGATTTGCAAATTTGACTTTTCTTGGTCAAACTGTTTCATTTTATTCGCTTAATTAAGATGTCAATTTTTAATTATATTCTAATTTGAAGTTTACAACTTTGAAGAGATTTTAATGTAATTTCTGAATATGTAAATTTTAATTATTAAAAATTGAATTAATTATCGATATCAAGCATTGACTTTTATTATTGATTGACCAAAAAATGTTGATTTTGCAAAACAATTTGGGACGGAGGAAGTATGTATATAGGGAGTGTATAAAATCTTACCCTAGATGGATCACATGAACCCTCACGTGCTTTATAAGGGTAGTCTTCTTCAGAGTCAATGCCACCATTTTTGACGATGTAATCATAGGCATAATCCATAAGACCGCCATTGCAT